TGGTACATCACAGCCTTTGGACATTAGAAATTTTAAGGTCATAAGAATCAGGATGAGTGATCTTCGAGTGTATACATTCCCAGTGTTGAAATGTGCGTAGGCACTTCGCACGAAATGGGCCTTTCTTCTTACCGGATTTATGTTTCACAGACATTCATTCAGACCTTATTGGCCTGTTATCATCTGCATTTTTCACAAGTGTAGATCGTCACTGTGTTTGGTTGGAAGCTATTCCACAGACTCATAGCACTATCGAAGCCGTTTTATCGAGTGTTTATGAGAAAGTGGTTGGAACAACTTCGATTCTCCTCTATTGTGACAAGCAACTAAGGGTGACAGTTTGAATCTGTTATCCATGACAAATCAAAAGAATGCATATCATCCGATTTATACTGACCCTGTGAAATATTTCTGTCATCGACTTAGGGCTTCGTTTACGGTCACAGTCAATATGAAATGGACTGACTCTCCACCGTTAATTCTTCTAATCATCTGCTCCACCCTACGGGTGGGTGTACAATGCTTAATAGGCTTGTGAGTCCACGCTCCGTCCAACCGGCAAAACTGCGATTTAGGGAGCCACTTAGGCAAGCACTTCTGATGTATGCGACTGCGCTTCAGATTTGACGATCTTTATATCTTGAAATGAACCAAAATCTACCTGTCCACAGAAAAGCAGAGTACGGTCGTTTGTACGACTTCAAGACTCTCATCCTTTAGCGCGTCTAACCACGTACCTGCTATGCATACCATAGGTATCTCCACTAGCCTAGAATAATTGACTATCTCGCAAAGTACACTCACTGAGACTTTTAATGATAAAACCCTTATTCTGAAAAGTGTCTGAGTATATTTTGCGACAATAAAACTCATTTCTTTGGTGTTTCATGCTGGAAAGTTGTAGATATTGTTGTTGTAATTCGTTTACCTTCGAACACTGATTCTGAGGATATAATCTTGTTCCCCAGGTAATGCCTAAAACTAACTGTTTTCAGCTTTGTGGCTGTTTAGCACTGACTAATATCTGTAATTCCATATATCATTGGAATTACATGCCCAAGTCCACCAAAGTCAGTGAGTCTATGTTTTTGATATTATTTTTGCTAACTGTATTTAACAGTGATACTACTGCTACGGGTTTTTTTGTTGTTGTCCTTGCCCTTCCTCTTGTAAACGTTTTCCTTTTGCTGGTGTTGTTCTGATTAGCTTATCTCTTGTTTTCCGGATTCCTAAAGGTAGCAACCCGGGACATCTCTCCTCTGTTACTTATGTCTCCGTGTCACAACTTCCTCCTCGGGCGTAAGGCTAGCTTCCTCATCCTGTAAAGAAGACTGCTACAGGGACTTCAGTGCGAATGAATCTACTTGCGACAAAATAAAAAGTCTGTGTGGGGACATAGAACGTCCGCGCCACGTATGAACTTGGCAAAGTTGCTTAGATCGTAAACGGGATGGAAAGATTCGGGATCCTAGTACCGGGAATATGTGAAAGCAGATGGAACGGGAATGGACTCATCAAATTGTCAACGGGAGAGTCATTGATCTAGTCTGGTCGCCCGAAAGACGACGACAAGCACACCGAGGGTGTGCCTATCATGATGCCGCCAACGGCAACGTAGGCCCTGATGCAGTGGGAGGTGATCTCGCCCAAGATAATGACCGCCAGATTCAATTCCAAAGGAAGGAAAGTGTCAGTTATACAATGCTATGCACCCACAAACAACGCAGACCTCAAAAAGAGAGAAGAATTCTACAGAAAACTACAAAAAACAATGGGCAATACTTTAGTTGAGGACATTAAAACACTAATGGGAGACATGAACGCCAAACTTAGACCGGACAACACAGGAAGGGAACTCATCATGGGTAGAGAAGCTCTCGGAGAAACGAATGAAAATGGGGAGTTCTTCGTTGAGTTCTGCGCCTTCAATGAACTAGTGATTGGTGGCAGCGTATACAAGCACATACGAGAATATTCACAAGGCTGCCTGGATGTCACCAGACGGGCAAACAGAAAACCAAATTGACTTCTACTCAATCTCAAGGAAGTGGAGACGCAGCTTACTGGACACAATAGTAAGAAGGGGAGCAGACGTCAGCTCAAACCATCATCTCGTGCAAAGGACACTGCTAACCAAGTTAAAAACTTTTAAGGAAACGGGTGTCACAGATAGACCACAAACCAAGTTCAATACACAAAAACTGAAAGAACAGGATACAAAGGATATCTTCACTGCAATCATAAGAGAAATGTTGGAGACACAAATCAACACTATCGGAGAGACCGGAGTCGAGAGGCACTGGAGAAGACTGAAAGCGGTTTGGAGTCAAGTCTGCATGGAAGTTCTAGGCAAAAAGAGGGGACAGGATAAATAGTGGCTCACTACGGACACTTGGAGACTAATAGAAGAGAGAAGGACAGTGAAACAACAGATTATCCAATGCACCGACGAGCAACAGAAACAGGAGTTGAATGCAAGCTACAATACACTGAACAAAAGAGTGAAGAATAGTGCCAGGGAAGACAAACGAAAACACCATGAAGCCATTTCAAGTGTAGCATAACAAGCTTCAGGCAAGGGAGACCTCGCAACATTCTACCAAACAACCAGGTACCTTTCGGGAAAAAGTTCGACCCAAGTAAAGCCAGTGAAGGGTGACAATGGAAATTCAGTCGCCAAAGAAGTGGAGCAAAGGAGACACTGGGTTGAACACTTCAAAAGACTTCTGAATCGACCGCCACTTACAACGCGCCCGACAATACCAACAACGGAAGCAGAACTACCAGTGAACATCAGCCCTCCGACGAGAACAGAAATCCTGAAGGCAGTCAAGATGCTGAAAGCTGGAAAAGCAGCGGGACCAGATGGAATCCCAGCAGAGGCATTGAAAATGTACCCAGAGAGATAAGTGGACTTCATGGAACCACTACTGGAGAAGGTGTGGAAAGAGGGCAAGGTACCCGGGGATTGGAAGAAAGGATACTTGTTTAAAATGCCAATGAAAGGAGACTTAAGTCAGTGCAAGAACTGGCGCGGAATTATGCTCCTGTCCATCCCGAACGAAATACAAACCGTATCATCCTGGAGAGAATCAAACACGCCCTGGATAAAAGACTTCGACTGGAACAGGCTGGCTTCAGGAGGAACAAGTCATGCATCGATCAAATCGCAACACTACGTATGATCATTGAACAGAGCTCGGAATGGCAGTCAACTCTCCATCTGAACTTCGTCGACTTTGAAAAGGCCTTCAACAGCTCAGTTTCGATTGAGAGGTGATTTGGCAACTACTTCGCTACCACCGAGTGCCACCGACAATTATGCACCCCATCCAACAGTTGTAAGACAATGCTGCATGCCGAGTAATCCACAAAGGGAAACCTTACGGAATCCTTCGAAGTGAAGACAGGAGTAAGACAAGGCTGCCTACTATCGCCAATGACTTTCCTGACTGCAGTAGATTGTATAATGCTACAGATAGTAGGCAACGAGGAAACAGGCATAAAAGGGAGCCACACAAATGACTTGGAGGATCTGGACTTCGCCGATGATACATGTCTGACTTCCCACAAACTGGAAGATATGCAAGTGAAAAGCAACAAGTTGGCAGAAGAAGCATCAAAGATAGGACTCCAAGTAGACACAGAGAAAACAGAGGTGATGACGACTCCTGGCCAACAGCAACATCAACAACAGGTAACAATCAGCCAGCATAAATGGGAGGAACCCGAAGGAAACAGCCTCCTTTACCTACCTGGGAAGCATCGTCTCAACTACAGGCGGAACTAATGAGGATATCAAAGAGAGTATCGGGAAAGCAAGGCAAGCTTTCACTAATCTTAAGTCTGTGTGGGGGTCAACAAAACTCAGCTCAAAAATTCAGATCCGGATTTACAACTCCAATGGGAAGTCAGTACTGCTATACGGATCAGAAACTTGGCGCGTCACAAGGAGCACCTCATACAAAATACAGACCTCCATCAACAGCTGTCTTCGCCCTGTGCTCCATTCAAGATCAGATGGCCGGCCATAAACGATTAGCAACAGGGATCTCTGGGAGCGAACCAACCCAGCAGGAACTAACTGTGCAACAAATATGCAGGAAGAAATGGAGGCGGATTGGCCATACTCTGGGTAGACCATCAAGTGACACCACTAGATAAGCCCTCGAGTTGAATCCGAACGGGAAGCGGCGAGTTGGTCGTCAGTGCAAAGGTGACTTGGATAAGGTCATGTGAAGAGGAGATGATAGCATGTGGGCAAACGTGGAGTCATGTGAAGACGATGGAGGAAAACCAAACGTAATGGAGACGTGCGGCTGAAGCCCTATGTTCCTATAGGAGCTAAAGGAAACATTAATACGAACATATTTTGTGATGCTCGTTTGCGAAGTATTTAAATCTGGTGTGGAATTTTGAAATGGGTCAGTAAGTGGTAATACACCATGCATGACAATATCGGCCCGGTGAAAGCACTGTCTGGTAAGCTAAACCTCTGGAACTGAAGAGGCACGAACGTACCAATGGTCTTCGAGACAGTAAAAGAGCTGAAACTTAGATTTGAACCTTTCACCATAAACTTTTAGCCAGGTGAAAATTATAGCAGAGAATATAACGCAATAGGGACGTGCAGCTGAAGCCCTATGTTCTGCTGGGAAATAAGGGATATATTAATGATAATAATATTCTGACCAAATTAACTCATCATTTCGCCCACAATTACGAGCTTTGTAACACTCCCATCATGCAAGTGGAAACGGCATAAAATATGCAAATTTCACTACAAACGTCTCTAGAACTCCAGCACACTAATGATCACAAGGGTGTTACGACTGAGATTAGTTCTCCATTTCAGCATTCAGATACCCAGATTTCATATAGAGGAGTTCTGTTTATTTCTCCATAAATTAAATTTAGGTAATTTTTGCTGTATCTTGGTGACTGTAGTTATTTTGTTTGAAAGGTTTCCTTTGTTTTGTCAATCCAATTGCATCCAATATATGGCGACGGCGCTAAGCGACATTGTGTTTCGTCTTAATCAGACTTCAAGCGATATGATTGAAAGACGTTCTCTCTTACGTCTTACAGACGTTTCAAGTGGGTATTTGTTCGTCAGGCTTTTTTTTCGCTTGTCGTTTCGTGTTACTTACTGTTTTCTCTCTTCAGGTCTTGCTGAATTGGCGCATAGAGAGTACCAAGCTGGTGATTATGAACGTGCAGAACAACATTGTATGCAACTGTGGCACCAAGACCCTGAAAACACATCGACTTTATTACTACTTAGTTCTATACATTTCCAATGTCGACGAATGGATCGATCAGCTTACTTCAGTCAACTTGCAATCAAACAAAATCCTCTGATGGCAGAAGCTTATTCTAACCTCGGGAATGTCTTCAAAGAACGAGGACAACTGAAGGAAGCAATTGACAACTATAGACACGCATTGAGAATCAAGCCAGATTTTATAGATGGATACATTAACTTGGCTGCTGCACTAGTCGCAGCCGGAGACATGGAGTCTGCAGTGAATGCCTATGCCACAGCATTACAATACAATCCAGTATGTTCTACATCCATGTTACTGTATTTCCTAGGAATTGTATTGTGTGCGGAGTGACCTTGGAAACTTACTGAAGGCTCTTGGACGCTTGGATGAGGCGAAAGTAAGGCGGCATATGAGTCGCCGCGGCGCGCTGCGATTCTTTGCTTGGATGTTTTTGCTATGTGTTTTCTTTTTTGAAATAGCGGTTTTCACTGCCGCCGCGCTGCTTTTTTATCCAACCAAACTTTCCAGACTACCTACAGCCTTTCTAATGAACGAGGTTTTTTCTTTCAAACAGCTATGTGTGTGCAGTCTCTGGTTGGCCACTGTCCCGTCAATCCTTCGGTTCGAACTGGTTCTGTGAACAAATGCATTCGTGAGTTCCCCTTCCTAAAACCCTTCGCGCGATTCCTTAAGAGTGCAAGTTTTGCACTGCGCTTTAAGTTATTTCACATCAAGTTCGGCTCAGGAGTGGTGAGTCGCTGTATGTTGTAGGTACATTTGGCGCTAGCATGCATAGCTGTAGACCTGTTGGTTGGCAGCCGCTCAGCACACTCGTCTTCTCCATATCATTACGTGTTTTTTCCGCTTTGTAGTCGTGTGTCAATAAAGTTGAAGATTGAACGATCGATTCATGGTTGTTTGCTCAAAATCAACTTCCCCAATTTTCGCGGAGGCATCAATACGACAGTCATCGTCTCATCGGTCGCTGTTCAGAAAGAAGAGTGAAACATCGTCAGAAGTAACAATGATTTATTATTGTAATATTAGTTTTCAGACCTTAGTTTGCTTAGTTCGCTTATTCCTTTTATATGTTGGTGTAACAATAAACAAATATAAAGCGGCAGATCAGTGTTTTGGTTTTTGCGTCTGTTATAACTAAGCGTTTCTGAGAAATCTTCGAAGAACAGCGTGGGCCCGAGCGTAGCGAGAGCTGGGCATTAACGGTTTATGAGACGTGATTGACAGTTTCTGACGATAGAAACAGATCTGGCGGATTGAAACAGTTGGTGAAAGTTTGGATAGTCGGCGTTCATTTTTCCTGGTGCCGGTCAAGTCCTCTTTGAACAAGCAATATCTGGAACACTTTTGGAATTGGGTCAAGTTCAACAATACCTGGGTCAAAGAAGGGACAGAGTGTCTTGGATGCAAACAGGAAAGTAAGTCATGGTGACTTGTCTGTTACTTGTAACGATGTGTCTGATGTTAAGCATGACATGGTTGATGTTATTATTTCGCCGTTCAGGGATAATAGGAACATCAAACTCCCTAGATTTGAACCACGGTGTTTTGATGGAAACCCGGCTGATTATTTACAATTTGTAAAGGAGTTTGAGATCATGTTGAGTGGTATTTTATTAAATGATGAATTGAAGTTAATGTATTTGATGAGATATTGCACTGGAGATGCTGCAAGAGCTATACAGTGCTGTACGTTTATGAAGCCAAAAGAGGGCTACTACGAGGCTCTGAGCATATTACGTCAAAGGTTTGGAAGACCTTCGATGATTGCAGGGAAATTATTCGAGGCTGTTAAGGGTAATGGTGGTCAATTACAGGATGACTCTCAGGCACTCACTGAGTTTTTAGATAATTTGCTAATTTACAAGAATGGAATGATTTCGATGAATCGCATGAGTGACCTCAACTCGAGTTTTATACTAGAAGTAATAGCAAGACGTCTACCTACTCGACTGCAAAGGAAGTGGGTGAAGATGAGCTCCCGTATGGAGGATGAGGGTATCGAGCCAAAGTTTGATGATATCCTGAAACTGGTAAATACTAGTGTCAATGAATCTATGAGCAAGTTTTCCAGTCTGTTAAATCTCACCCCTAGAATAGAGCAGTCTGAGGGTAAAACGCACTCATTGATGACGAATAAGCCTCAGAGAGGTGGATATCGAGAAGGCTCCATGATGTCTAGTAATGCATATAAAAAATCAGGAAAGTATACTTGCCCTGTGCTGTTTAAATTCAGTAGTCCTAATGATGCTAGGAAATTTCAGTCGTCAAATAAGTTAATTAGTTCATCCACACCTTATGGTAATATTAAACTTGCCCATGACCTAACGCCATGTCAAAGACGTAGCCGCGCAAGTGTACCAAGTGTCGCAAAAACTTACGTAACAGCAGAATGTCCTATAGAAGACTCTGTCGCCTTAAACTTGAGTAAACCTAATGGTACAGACATACATGAAATACTCTTAAATAATAAAAATTTACCTAGTAAACTCAACGATGAAGCAACTACGGTCATAGACTTAGATGCATCTTCAGAGTTATGCTCGCTAGCCACATCACCATCAGCCGCTAATACCACTACCAACGTTAAGCAAAAGACTAAGCTCGAGCATGTAGCATTAAGCATATCCTCCCCGAGCAGCACTCAGATTAGTGAGCATACAAAACGAAGTAAAATAACCCTGCCATCCAGAATACCTGTACTCAAACACATCACTGATAGGTTTCTCAGCAGCGAACCAGATAACATTAACTTAAGCGACCCCAATCATACCACTAAACCAGGGAAGCAGAATAAGCCCTCATACCGCCATAAATCTAACGTCAATGAAAAGAGAGGTAACCCGCCGATTCATCCAACATCAAACAAGTCTTCGTCCGATAGACACAACAGACGCTATATGTCTGGGCACCCTAAAAATAAGTCGAAGCCCGACGGGCAGGCATACACCTACCCCGACACAACTTTCCAATCTATGGCTACTATAGACAAAAGTTTGATCCAGGGACCTCTACAACAAGGAACAAGTGCGCTAGGCATGTTTCCTAAAGGTGGCCTTTTGACTCACCACATCCCCGAAAACCATCGCATACAGACCACCCAAGACCGTCAATGGACTAATATTTACGAAAATAACTTAAACACACAAAATATTAGTCATAACTGCGATACACGTAACTCTACCCCAGCATACTATCCACAAGGAATACCTACCTCCCCCCCATCCAATCTAAATTTTCTCAGCCAACACGAAATTTCAGCCTCAATATTGACGCAAATAGCACACATACTGTCAAGCCACTTATCACCGGATGGGAGGGCGATGCATTGGAGGCACGGTATTATGAACACCTCACACCCGCCGGGGTAACAAACGATGGCACATCTCTCTGTGCTGATACTGGTGTAGGGCACTTTTCCAGCACTGCTAGTAAGTGGCCACCATCTGAGTTAGCACCCATCAAACAATCTGTTCTAGACGCCATAAACCTTGGAGAGAATATTTTTAAAGATATATGCGATTTCACCGTCACCCCTAACTCTCTCTCATTCTGTCTTATCAATGCTCGCTCCTTACTCAACAAAATGTTCGACTTCACGACATTATCCCTAATTTGCAATCCGTCTCTCATAATGATTACTGAGACATGGTGCACTCCTCAGATTTGCGATAAAGATATTTCTATTGATAACTATTATGTATTCAGAGGCGACAGAAACTATGGTAGAGGAGGAGGATGTGCTATGTATATCAGGTCTGATATTAAGGCCACACAGTGCTTCTACCCAGAGCTCATCACAGATAACGATTCAGTGTGGGCTATTCTAAGACTGTCTCACTCCAGTTCCTATCTTATAGGTTGCATCTATCACCCCCCGTGCTCAACCGTTGAAGGTAATATGAAGCTTGCTAGCACGTTCGCTTACGCCACTTCACTACCTCACACGGCTAAAATTATATGTGGGGACTTTAATATGCCCGATGTAGTCTGGCAACCACTTTCCTCACCAAAACGGTACAATGAATTTATCAACATAATAGAAACAAAAGAATGGCAACAACACGTACAGTATCCTACCAGGCTATCTAAGATTTTAGATCTAGTTTTCACTAATGGTATCATCCCCACTACCCTTCGAGTAGGTAAAGAGTTTCCTGGCAGCGACCACAGAGTAGTATTCGGTACATTTAATATTTGCACTAGCATGAGTTCGACAATAAACGCCAACAAAGTATTACTCAGGGGTTACAGACATGCTCAGTGGGATGAACTGAAACCATACATACGCACCCTAGACTGGGAGCCATACTTTACGTGCAGCTCGGCTATAGAGACAAACAAATTACTCTATGAGAACCTAGGATTTGCACATGACTTCATCGCTCCAGTAAGACTTGTGAAAACGAGGCCTAAACAGCCCGACTTCATCCCCGTAAAGATTCGAAACCGACTGCGTAAGCATGCTAGGCAATTCTACAGATATAATGACTTTTCATCACTCATTACACTCAAGCAAACTTATGATTCATACAAATCTAATCAGTTATCTGAGTCCATCAAACTAGAACGCATCCTCCACTCACGACCTGATAATACAGAGGCATTAGTTAAACTAATTAAGTCACGAATCAACAACAACAGAATAAGTATCCCTAACTTATTACTAGATGGAGAAAAACTACACGAAGACCCGCAGGAGATATGTGAGTTATTCAGCTCCCACTTTTCTAGCTACTATACTATCGAAGAAACAGTAGATAGTCTTGAAGTTCCGACAATACCAAATCACTTTTTGGGTAATATAACATTCACCCAACAAAAGATTTCCTCCGCTATAGCATCCCTCCGGACATCATATAACGCTGGGCCCGATGGAATTCCATCTATCTTGTTGAAAAGAGGTGGTGAGGATATACCCATTATCCTACTAAAGTTTTTCATTCTGTCCTTAAATAATGGCAGTTACCCAGAATGCTGGAAACTGTCGTTTATAACCCCTAGGCACAAACAAGGACCAACTTCTAACATCGAAAACTACCGACCGATTAATATCACGTCAGTAGTTTCCAGGGTTATGGAAAAGGTTATAGGGCAAGATATTGCTTCATACCTCCACCTTCACAAAGTGTTTACTCCAGCACAACACGGCTTCTTGAAAAATCGATCATGCTCCACCTGCCTACTTGACTACTTTGATGATGTTACCGCTAAGCGTGATCATGGTTTGTATGTCACAACTCTCTTCTTTGACTTCAAAAAAGCCTTTGATAAAGTCCCACACAAGAGACTAATCCTTAAGCTAAAGTCGTACGGGTTCCAAGACCCCTTGTTATCCTGGCTCATTTCTTTCTTGGAAGATCGTTCCCAAGTTGTGAAATTTGCAAATAATTACTCGTCACCCAGACCTATAAGAAGTGGAGTGATTCAGGGTAGTGTACTAGGTCCACTGCTTTTCGTAATCTACATTAACGACATCTGCAGCGTAATCAAGCATGGTACCCCATACCTCTTTGCTGACGACTTAAAGATTGTATACAGCTTCCCCCATTCTACACTAAACGAAGGATTCACACATATTCAAGATGATCTGGATAGGTTACATAACTGGAGCAATGACTG